GGGATGGAGCGTCGCCTAGTGCAAGGGTGTGGGGAAGGGCAGTCAAACGCGACAAAAGCCGAAGGAGAGAGGGGAAGGGGAAGGAGGGACTCGCGAGACAACGAAAGTGCCAAAGAGAGGAAGCGGAGACACGAAGAGAGGACGAGAGAGAGAGAGAGAGAGAGAGGCGGGGGTGAACAGGGTGAGAGGGGGTTGGGGAGGGGCGGCACGGGAGCAGCCGTTGAGCCCCACAGAGATCGCGCGCGCTGATACTCCGTCTATATACAGTCGGAATTGAATGGCGTGAAAAAGGGGGCCGCGCCAGACACAATGGGGATGATTTTCAGTGGAAAGAAGAAACACTTCTGCAATCTACACCACCTGACTCTGCAGATAGCTGCTGTTGCTGCGAGGGGAAGAAAGAAAGGGGGGGGGGGGGGGGGGGCGTGAAGGTCGCATGGCGGCTGCGGCGCGCAAAGGATTTAGGTTTAGAGGCCGAGTGTGGGAGGAAATGGAAGCAGCGGGTTTATAAGGTAAGGTGAAAGGGGAAAAGGTGGGAGGGGAGACGTTCTACGCTACGCGGGGTGCGCTTGCCCTCAGTGCCTCTCACACCATACAGCGCTACACACAACGCGGTGTGTTCACAGCGGCTGTGTTAGGGGGTCTATGCTCTTGATGTAACGGGACTTTGTATGAGAGCCGATAAGAACAATCAAACAATCAAGGCACGCAAGGTATGCACCGAAACACTTTCAAAGCTTTTATAGATAATATAACAACTTACGAGAAAATGTTTTTAGACAGTACCTTATGGCTGTCTCTACCCGATAGTGAAAGTTGCCCATTTTGATAAAGATTTGGTGGTTCCCGCTCCAGTTTCAATAAAGATTGTCGATGAACGTCCCAGTTTTTTGGTGCTTTTTTGCTATCAACAAAGTTTGTTAAAGACGTGTTATTCTTCATATACGTTTCTATGCCTTAACGTTATTTAAATGGAGGTACGACGTCTTCTGCCTCTAAACAAAACCAGTGCACTTTCTGTGCAAATTGAAAAAAATCCAACGGAATGTTCTGAAATACCTCCAATCACTTAAGTCACTGAAACTGTTATTTTTTCTGATTATTCTTACGCTATCTCACAGGTAATCCTTCACCTGACCATAGAAAGGCCCTTACTGACTACTAAAAAATGTACTGGCGACAAAAGAGCGACTTTGTCTTTTGCAAGAATAAAGATTGTACACCTGTTACAAACTCTGATATCATAGGTACTTAATGGTTGTGCACGAAACTGTCCCTTAAAATCGTACTTTAGCCAGCCACGGCCAAATGCGGTGAGTGACTCGTGGCTCGGGGTGGCACAAGCAGGAGGGAAGTTCAACGCACGAGATGTTGTTTGTCTATGGATAAGTGAAGCCATTGTCAATGAACTTGGCACAATCAAAAGTTCAACCTGCTCTTTCCTTATTTTTAGTTACCCCACAGACACTCACGCACCTTAAAATTATCGACAGGCCTCAGACATTTCATATTTGTGCTTTCCCCTCAAAATAAAAACACACCATTTTCATACAAAAGAGGGCAGACGAATATGATGTCTTGACCCTGTTGTGTTTATGACTGACGCATTTCATGCACTCACCGGAGACGCTTTGCTTCGTCGATAAAGGGCCTCTTCTCGGACTCCTTCAGCAGCTTCCAGTCGGCGCCCAGTCGTTTTGAGATCTCCGAGTTGTGCATCTTGGGGTTCTCCTGAGCCATCTTGCGGCGCTGGCCCCGCGACCAGACCATGAAGGCGTTCATAGGTCTCTTTATGTGTAATGAACTAGAGTCTATCCTGGAGTCCACCCTGGACTCAATCCTGGAGTCCATCCTGGAGTCCATCCTGGAGTCCATCCTGGAGTCCATCCTGGAATCCATCCTGGAATCCATCCTGGAATCCATCCTGGAATCCATTCTTGAGTCCATCCTTCCGTCGAGGATGCCTCCTTTGCCTGCACCCATCATGCTGGGAGATGTGGGATGCATCGCTGTAAATGCAGGGCAAAATTAGTTTACGTTTGGACGTGACACTGTGTGACAGGGCTGTCAAAACGTCGTTCAGAAAATCCGTCGTGTTCAAAACCATTCTCTACACAAAAATGTGTTGTATAAATCTGCCTGCATGAAAGATGACAGTCGAGTCCTTGCCTCGCGAGGAAGAATAACAAGACTAAATTGGCACATCATACGTGAAAAGAAACCATGCATGAGTAAAAATTCTCCTACAACAATATAAGATTACTTTTATCATGTCTCTAATTGGACAACCCAAACAAAATGTCCTATTTCTGTATAAAACATGATTGATGCGCTGTTCTGCTTTTTTTTTGTAATAGCGGCCAAAATTTCACCAAAAATATGTTTTGTTTTCAACACAATATGCACGAAGTTTCACTCACTTTGCATTTGTTTCAGGTGCTGTCTAGAGGGACGTTCGTACGCCTTATGCGGCACCGCGACGGTCGCGCGTCAGCCGGACTTCGACGGGCCGGTCAACAGCAGCAGGGGAGTCACCGGCCGGCGCCGACGAGGCCGCTGTCAACATGGCGAGGGCCTTCCACGACGCGTACAAACACTACTGGACGGAACACACGGCACGGCGACCACTTGAACAACACGGCGCGGGACACCACGTGCAACCCGGTGGGAGAGTGAGAGAGAGGGGTGGTGAGGGCACTAGAGAGGGTGGGTGTCCTGCCTGCTCGACGCCTGCAGGACGAGTGAGCTCGCCCGCCGCGCGGGCCCGAGTCCTGGGGTCCTGCGGGCCGGGTCCTGTCTCACTCCCCCGCGGTAGCCTCCCCTCCCCACTCCACGATATATCTCTCTCGCTCTCTCTATCTCTCTCTCTCTCTCCCCATCCAGCTGGGTGGTAGTTTTTGTTTGCATATGATATCTGTGTCGCTTTGGTGCCTGCTTTGGTCACCCCGGTTCTCGCTCTCGGCTTTCGCAGGTCGCATTAGGAGAGGCGAAATAAGTGTCAACAGGATGCCTTTCGTTGCATCCCCTGAAACATCATGACATTTATGACAGTCAACTAATATTTTTTACCTTGAGATAAATGACTTGTATAATCTATTTTATCAAGAGTATAGTTACAGATGCTAGACGTGAAGTTTGTTTCACATTTCGATAAACATTGACACAAACTTTGTGGGTTACCCGTTAATTATTTTTCATGATAAAAGCGAGATCTTTTATTAATATCACGAATCTTTTATTAATATTACGAAGAGCATATAGTGACAATTCTATACCTTAAGATTGTTTCACATTTCGAGAAATAACACAGTTATATTTCCTTTCGAACAGTGCGTTCGATGTTGTTTTATCTTTCAGGTTAAGGTCAGACACTGAGGGGTGCACATCGACTGGGGATGAAACTGGCGTAGTAGTGACTGGAACCAGATACAGTGGTACATGGTCGAGGGGTAGATGAAGAAGAAGATGGGCGAGAAGATGGATGGATGGAGAGATAGATGGATAGGTGGATGCCACGACGAGGCCCAAATCATGTTTCGCCGTGAAAGGAACCGTGGTTTGGGATAGGAAGTTGGAGGTTAGGTGGTGCGGCTGAAGAGAGAGGGGGAGTGAGAGAGAGAGAACGGGGGAGAAAGGGGCTAGAGAAAGGGGCATAAGAAGAAGTGAGAGGGAGAGGCGCCGGGGAGGGGGAAGCTGAGCCAGGCCGTGCCCAACCAGAGGCCCGCAATCGATGCCAGGAAGACTGTGCATTGGCCCCCTGCCCACCCCGCGCCGCCTCGGTCCTCCATGGCGCCTGCTAGCGCCCCGCGTCAAGAAACACAGGGAGAAGGGGAGGGGGGGTGTATAGTCGTCGCGGGGGCCCCGTGGCGGGGCGGGGACTTCCCCGGGGGCAATACATAGCCGTCTCGTGTCGTCTGCTATTACAGCGGCAAGTGCCCCCGTCTGCCGTCGCAATGAGCAGCTCTATGAGCGTCGCCGCGATAGGGGGCGCGTCCCGGGGCCCGCGGGGGGCGCGCGCCGCCGTAGTAGGATGGCGCCGTTGTGGACTCCGGCCGCGGGAACTACTTCCTACGACGGCCACCCTCCTCTGCGCGGGCAGAGGGTCGGAACACCTGCTGCGGTGAATAGGCGTGGTTCCTGGGGGGGGGGGGGGGGGGAGTTGCGCGTTGCGCGTCGAACATTGAGATGCGGAGTCACTTCACGACGATCCATGCAATCACTGTGAAAATAAATCCTCGTAAATTTACAACATTCGATGAAATTCTTTTTATTTACAAAGAAATTTTGTAAATTATCTACCGCCCCATTCTTGTTTGTCGATTAATTCGAACTTGATATGAAGTGTTATTATGAATTTACAATTTCGAATCGTAACTGTACGACACAAATCATGGAAAATTTTCCCGTAAAGCTACGACTGTTCTTAACGCGAATAGGTCAATAATGCTGCAAGAAAATTCGTTCCTCCTTACCGGACTAAGCTTGACGGAATTATATAACCTCGTACTGTGGTGTGATCAGTTTGCGCACAAGGGGAAACAAATAATAAAGAAATAAATATAAAAGTATACTTAGCTATATGTACGCCAGACCACGTCTCGCGTAACAGGCTTCGCGATATCTCACGAAACACTGTTACGCTGCGACGCGCCTGGCGCACATATAGCTAAGCCTGCGGCGCTGACACCCAAGACGGGGTAATAGGAGTGTATATACATTTTTTCGAAATGAAGTTTTTTTTAACGATTTAATCGACCATT